TCATTCACTCATTCACTCACTCATTCAGTCACTCACTCAGTCACGGACTCATTCCCTCACTCACTCATTGACTCACTCATTCATTCACTCACTCACTCACTCATTCACTCACTCACTCATTCACCTCATTCACTCACTCACTCACTCATTTATTCATTCATTCACTCATTCTTTCATCCATTCCTTCCTTCCCTCTGCCTGGTGGTTGGGTGTGGCCAGGATGCTCAGACCAGGGCTCCCTGGGCTGCTCCTCGGTGCCCCGGAGGCTGAGCCAGGCCTCAGTCAGCAGGACGCCCAGGATGATGAGCACCAGCCCCGCCAAGATGAGGCGGACCAGATTGCCCGCGGTGTAATCCAGGGGAGCAGCATCTGGGGGATCAGAGTTTGTCCCTGACATGTGGGTCTTCTTGCCAGGCCTCCCAGCCCCCGAGTGTGAGCAGAGATCTTGTCCCCCACTAGAGCTCAGACCCTGGTCCCAGCACAGCTCCTCCTCTCTCAGCAGAAGGTTCCTGTTTCTCTCCTGCCTGGGGAGGGAGGGAGAGAGGCCTGAGGGGCTGGGGCAGCCTCTGGTCTCCTCCTCCCCCTCAGCCAGCCCTCTCCTTCCCCAGCCTCAAAGCTGAGACTTGCTCTCCTGGCTCACTGGTCCACCCTCCTCACTGGACAAAAAACGCCCCCTCCTCAAAGTGACCAGTGATGTCTTCCTGCCAACACCAATGGTCCCAGGCCTCCCCTGCCCATGACACTGAGGACCCTACTCTCCCCCAGGGTGAGGGGATGGGATTCAGCCTGTCCTCAGGGAGCCAACAGTCTTATTCAGTAATTCAGGTCTACAGCCCCTTATTAAGCACTCACACTGGGCCAAGCCCTGGGCTAGGTCACACCCACAAGAAATAAGACAAAACAGAGCTAGGTCCTGCCCTTCAGGGGCTGACATTCTCCTGGAATGCTCTGTGTCTGGGCCACAAATCATCCGAGGAGTGGGATGGTTAACAACTGGGGAGGGGGACAGGAGAGGCTTCTTTTGGACAAGGCTCCTAAGCTCAGTCTGGGAGGGATCTTTGCATTGTAAGAGGAGGAGGTGAGGAGGGAGGACATGCCAGGCAGGGGAGACAGCCTGGGCAAAGGCCTGGAGGTGGGAAAAGGAGAATAACAAGGTCCTGTGGGAGGAGTGGTGGGAAATGAGGGGCCCCTGGATGGGGTGGGCAGACCCTGACTAGACGTCCAGCCCCTGTCTCCCTCCTCTCTCTCCTGGGAATGCTCCAGTCACTCACCAAGCTGGGTGTTCCCAGATTCAGGGCTTGGAGAGAAGGTCCCTGAGGATGAGGAAGGGGGCAGGGTTAGGGGCTGGGCAGGGGAGCCCAGAAAGGCCAGGGGGGCTGGAGGGTCTGCAGGGAGTCCCGGCTCTGCTCAGACGTGCTGGTGTGGAAGGTTGAGCAAGTTCCTTCCTTGTCTGGGCCTCACTTTTCCATCTGTTAAATGGGTGTGTGTGCTCAGTGACCTCTCCTGGCCTGTCCACTTGTGAGATATGATGATTCCGTGATTCTTCTGACCCTTCTTCTAGCTCCTGTCTGGGCTTTGGGGGCAGAGGAGGGACACAGGAAGAAGAAGAAGGCAGTTTCTGGGGTGGGGGGGGAAGGGCCCTCTGAATCCTCAGGGCCCCCTGTGTCAGCTGTTCCCAGGGCCCTGAGGTTCCTTCTCTGCCTGAGGCTCTGCTGCATAAGTGGGAGGCAGTGTTGGGCAGAGGAGGTCACTGTGGTGCTTCCGGTGAGGGTATCTGAGAGGCCCCTCCCTCATCACTGGGGCAGCCAGGAACTGGAGAAGCAGAGGCCCCCCCCCCAGCTATGACTGTGTGGGTGAGGGGTGGGAGGCTATGGGGGCTCCTGCAGAAGGGGAGAGAAAGCAGAAGAGTAGGGGCTTCTCTGCCCATCTCTGCTCCTCACCTCCCCAGCCCCTTCCTGACCAGCTATGTTCCTTCTTCCCTAGGCTGGAGTTTCCTCTGACCCTGTCCCTCCCTTCCAGCCCCCTCATGACTTGGTTCTTTCTGAGAAAGTGGGAGACTCAGCCCTGGCCTAGACAGGAGGTGGAAAGTAATAGGGGAGAGAGACCCCCACCCTGTCCTGAGGGTAACTGGTTACTCACTGGGTGGGGAGGATGTCAGAACTTGGAGATTTCCAGGGTTTTGGGGGAGGTGATCATCCTTTGAGGTGCCTGGAACTGGGACAGGAGAAGGGTGAGGGGCTTGGTGGTGTTTAACCTCCCCCCACCCCACTGTCTACACTGCAGGCCTGCTCTGACCTTCTCTTGGCTCCCTCTCTGACCTCTACAACCCCCTTTCCTGGGACCTAGTAGACGTATTGTCTGTCTGTGGGACCAACATAACTGGAGAGGTGGCAGATGGGGAGGGTGTCTAGAGGGGCCAGGGAGGAGAGACCTCACTGTCTTCATTCTCTGAGCAGGACCCATTACCCAGGTTCTCCATCCCCTCCCTCTGAGCCTCCTCTTCCCCAGCAGTCCTGGCCCCTGCAGTGCCCTGGGCAGTTAGGGAGATGCCCCAGGGTCAGTGACAGGGCTTAGGAGGTATGGGAGGAATGGGGTGGAGCTGGAGCTCCCTCACCTGTGACCCAGAGCACCAGGGGGCTACTGGGGGCTGACCACACATAAGGGAAATAGCTGTAAAAGTTGTAGCATCGGTAAGTCCCTCTGTGGGTAGAGTTCACAGCAGGGATGGAGAAGTTGGCCAGAGACCCCCTTAGATGGTGCTGGGCCCTGCCTTGTGTGATCTGTTCTCCATTCTTGTACAGGGCAGACCTGTCATACCATCGCTGCGACTGACATAGGAAGGTCACATTGTGTCCTGAGGCCACCATAGAGCTGGGCAGGGCTGAGAGGGAGGATGGGTCATACACGCCTGGGGGAGGAAGAAAGTCTGGAGTTAGGGCTATGACCCCCGCCCTTTTAGGGGAATGGGCAGACTTTGCTCGTGGGATGACTGGCCTGGGCCTGCCTAGACCCCTGCCTGGGGGTGGAGGTTTAGGTCATCTCTGGAGAAAAGGAAATATCACAGCTTTTTGGGGAGAGGAAAGACTCTGGACAGCTCTGGGTTAGAAAAGGAAAATGGGGGGGAGAGAGAGAATAAAAGAGAGGGAGAGGAGAGATTGAGGCTGGGGGAGGAGGGAAAAACAGAGACAAAGGAAGGCAGAACAAAGAGACAGTCAGAGAGAAGAGAGAAACCGGGGGTGGGGGGGTGGATGGAGGCTTCCTCCCTGGTCCGGGGCTGGGAGTCCCAATCTCTGGACCTTGGTCCTAGAATCTCTCTCCACAGACGTTGGAGGTGGAGGCATATTTAAGACCCGTCTTTGCAGTTTGGGGTGGTTATGAGCTCCCCAAAGCAGAGCCTGGCTCTCATCCTGGACCATGGGTGGGTCCCTGGGGCAGGTGTGGGAAGGAGAGTAGGAGGCTTGGTTGAGATTTGTGCTTCACTTCCATCCTTGCCTCCTAAATCTTCCTGTACAGAAAATCCTTGGGGATACACAGAGGAGACACCCCTCCCCTCCCCTCCCCTCCCTGTGCCTAGGCCTGAGCTGGGAGAGGGGACAGAGCACCCTGCACTGCCTCTCCTGGCTTTGGGAGGGTCAGGGCTGGGAGGGGGAGATGCCCCAGCAGCCCTGTGCCCCCTCCCCAGGGAGCTACCAGCTCTGTCTTGTGACCTGAGACCCAAGCTGAGCCTCCTGCCTCCTCTCTGGCCCCAAGATGGGCTCTGACTGAAGCAGCTGGTGGGTCAGTGGATAGAGCCCTGGGCCTGGAGTCAGGAAGACCTGAGTTCAAATCCAGCCTTAGACACTTGTCAGTTATGTGATTCTGGGCAAGTCACTTCCTCTCTGTTTGCCTCAGTTTCCTCTACTGTAAGATTGGGATCATTGTAGCACCTACCTCACAGAGCTGTTGTGAGGATCAAAGGAGATAATGCCTGTAAAGTGCTTGGCACAATGTAGGCACTATACAAATGCTGATTCCCTTCCCCCACCTCTAGCCCCAGAGGAGAGCGGGACAGGAAGGGCAGAGGCAGAGGGATGGTTGGGGCCAGGCTGGGCTGGGGAGGAGCTTAGGGGCTGCTGGGACCCAGAGCCAGCCCTGCCTGAGGGGCCTGGGCGGGGGTGGGGGTGGGGGGTTGGGGGGAGGTTTCCTCACCTGTCACCACCAGCTCCAGGGGGTCACTGTGTTCTGACCAGCCAGATGAGTGTAAGTAGCTGCAATAGTAGGTCCCTGCATGTTTTGCTGTCACTCCTGGGATGTGAAATTCACCCTCTATTCCAGATGGTTTCGCATCCATGATTTGTATCCTTCTAGACCCGTGGTCTTTCTCCAGAATGTAGTCATCAGCCTCTACTGACCCCTGGCACCTGAGGATCACACTTCTCCCTAGTGGCACCAATGAGCCGTTCTCTGCCCTGAGGGAGGGTCTGGGGAGTGTGTCTGGAAGTGAATGAGAGCTGTCAGATCCAGGGGATCCCCCTTCTGTGGGCCCCCCATGCTGCATTCCCTCATTTTAAACCTTGTCAGCCCTGCCCAGACCACCCCCCTCCCTCTCCTGGGGGTAGCCATCTGCTCTGGGCCGGGGGAGTGTGGGGGGAAGGACTCACCCGCCTCTGCCCTCATCCTCTGGCCCAGACACAGCCCTGGAAGAGAGGACCCTGGTTACCCCCAGCTCCCTACATCCTCCCCAGCCAACACCCCCAGAGGAAGGAGACAGAGGGCCTAGAGCCTGGGCTTAGGGCTGATGTGAGTGAAAGGGGCTGGATGCCAGATGGCCCCTCTAAGAGCTCCAGCTTCTCCCCCTTCCCCTCCTGGCTGGGTGACCTCAGACTGGCCCCTCCTCTCCAAAACTGGGGTGTGTATCTCACCCCAGTACCTTGGTACCTAAAGTCCCCTTGACTTTGGGGTTCCTCCCACCCTAGGACTCACCGAGGCCCACCAGGGCAGAGAGGATGGGAGTCATGATGGCGCCTGTAGATACTGGGAGGGTAGCCCGGTGGTAGATCAGACAGACAGTGTGAGGCTGAGGATGTGACCAAGGTCTGCTGTGCTCTGGGTCCCTCAGGGTCCAGTCTCACTGAGAAGGCTTTCCAGCTCCTTGCTCACTGTGGTTTCCTGTTGATTGCCCCATGGGTGCCTTGGGTGCAGAATCAGATGTCGACATCAGGGAGGAAGGTCAGAGTGGAAATGAGGGAGTGCCTCGGGTTGATGGACTCCTTACAGTTTCCAGTGGCCAGGCCAGCACTGGCACAGTGCTGATGGGAAGCTATCCTGGCTTGTGGCTGAGGGTGAGGGGGAGTGAGCACACGCCCAGCGAGTGTGGTCCCACAGGGAGCAAGAATATTTTTGGGGCTGAGGACTCTACCTGTGACTTAGGGGAGGAAAGGAATCCCTGAGGTGGAGCCCCCAGACAGAATTCAGAACATAACAATGAAGAGGACCTACCTAGGGTAACATTACCCACAACTCAGGATTAAAACTTGATTATAACCATAAGCTGTCAAAATCAAATAAAGCAAAATAAAAATTAAAATGAACCCACAAAGGAAAAAGAACCCGACCACAGATAGCTGCTTTGATGTAGAAGATCTGGGTTCATATTCAGAGGAAGATAGAGAGGTTAAAAACAGTCATTCTTTGTATATGTATAGCCTATATCGGATTGCATGCTGTCTTGGGGAGGGAGGTACAAAGGGAGGGGAAGAAAAATTGAAAACTCAAAAGCTTATGGATGTGATTATTGATAGATCAAAATAAATTAATAAAGTTAAAAAAGAAGTCAGAGAATTATGGGAGGTCAAGGTAGAATCAAAAGAACATGCAAAATGACAAAAAAAAATGCAAAATAATTCCATCAATCAATTAGTATTTATTAAGTGCCTATTTTGTGCCAGACCCTATTAAGAGCTGGGCTTACAAAGAAAGGCAAAGAAGCAACCAAAACTGTGGTCAATACAATTGTTTGTGTTATTATGCTATCACAACCCAAAGACACATTCCCTTTTGCTAGCAGTTTATAAATAAATTGTTTGGGGCAGATGTAAAAAAACAAAAACCAAAACCAGCCATTTCTACCCCAAAGAGTAATGTCAAATGGTCACAGGCCCAAAAGACCTGTTGGAAAAACTTACAAAGGAATTAAAAAATCAAATAAGAGAGATCGAGGAAAAATTAGGAAAAAAATTAAAAGCAATCCAAGAAAATTATGAAAAGAAAATTAACCAATTAGAAAAAGTGGCACAAAATCTTAAGGAAGAAAATAACTCCTTGAAAACTAGAA